CTACTACTACTACGACTACGACGAGGACGGTTACTACTACTACTACTACTACTACTACTACTACTACTACTACTACAACTACTACTACTACTACTACTACTACTACTACTACTACTACTACTACTACTACTACTACTAGTACTACGACTGCTATTACTACTACTACTACTACTACTACTACTACTACTACTACTACTTACTACTACTACTACGAGTACGTCTTCTGCTTCGACTACTACTTACTACTACTACCACCACTACTAACACTATACTACTACTTACACTTACTACTACTACTACTACTACTACTCCTACTACGACTACTACTACGGACTACTACTACTACTACTATTACACTGCTACTACTACTACTACTACTACTACTACTACATATACTACTACTACTACTAACTACTACTACTACTACTACTACTACTACTACTACTAATACTACTACTACTAACGACTACTACTACTACTACTACTACTACTACTACTACTACTACTACTACTACTACTACTACTACTACTACTACTACTACTACTACTACTACTACTACTACTACTACTACTATTACTACTAATACTACTACTACTACTACTACTACTACTACTACTACTACTACTACTACTACTACTACTACTACTACTACTACTACTACTACTACTACTACTACTACTACTACTACTACTACTACTACTACTACTACTACTACTACTACGACTACGACTACGACTGCGACGATTACTACTACCACGACTACTATTACTAAGACTACTACTCGTACTGGTTTGTATTATTTAATTTCACTTACTACGACCACGGATACTCGTACTACTATTGCTGTTGGTGCGATTGTTATTGTTTTTGCGAGTCTTACAGGTACTCCTTGGTTTGCTGTACTGCCCGTGGAAAGAGCGCGTTCGTGGCACACTTCCTTTGGAAAGGAGGGGGGGCCTTCCGAAGCTACCCCCCCTCCCCCCTTTATGCGGTCATTGTTTAGCTGGGGGCGCCTAGCTACGGGAGGGGGGGGCTTGGAAGCTACGCCCCCCTCCTCTTTTCGGAGCCCGGGGTCAGCCCGGGCTTCCTTTTTCAAGGGGGGGGGGCTTCCGATGTTATCCCCCCTCCTTCCTCTTGTTTGGATTTTGTAGCTAGGGGGTCCGTGGCTAAAGGGGGGGGGCTTGGAAGCTACCGCCCCTCTCGGTTTCGGGGCCTGGGGTAAGCCCGGGCTCCCATTTCCAAAGGGGTGGGAGGAGCTTTCGAAGCTACCTCCCTCCCCCCTTCTTTTGGCCTTTCCAGCTGGAGTGCCCTGGCTGATGCGGGGGTTTTGAAGCTACTCTTCTTCTTTGGTTTTCGGCGCCCCGTTGGTTTTCGGCATGCTCGTGGTTTTCGGCATCTGTTTTGGTCATCGGCGCGTCTTTGGTTTTTCGGCGCCGCTTTGGTTTTCGGCGCCCTTTTTGTTTTAGACGCCCTGTCTGTCTTCGGAGCTTATGTTGTTGGTTATCGGCACCCCTTCTGTTTGTCGGCGCATCGTTGGTTTTCGGCGCCCCTGTGGTTTTCCGCGCCCAGTTGGTTTTCGAAGACTCTTTCGTTTTCGGCGCCCCAAAAGTGGTTTTCGGCGCCCTCTTAATTTTCGGCGCCCCTTTGGTTTTCGGTGTTCTTTTGTTTTTCGGCGCCCTTTTGGTTCCTCGCGCATCTTTGGTTTTCCGCGTTCTTTTTTGTGTTCGGCGCTTTTATGGTTTTTGGCACCCTTTTGGTTTTCGGCGCTCCTTCGGTTTTCGGCGCTCCTTTGGTTTTCGGCGCCCTTTTAGTTTTCGGCGCACCTTCGGTTTTCCGCGCCCCTTCGGTGTTCGGCGTTCCGTCGGCTTTCGGCGCGCCCCACGGGCGCGCACTCTCTGGTACATGACCATCGGTATGTTCAGCACTGCAGTTGCCCGTCATCCAGTCAGGTATCTCGAAACGCGTCCATGCTTGACATGTTTTTTTGTGCTCCTTTCTGGACTCGTGGGTCGGATCGACCTGCGCGGGCCCCTGGCCCCAAGCACTGGGTGAGCGCACCCGGCATGACAAGAGATGCGTCGCCCAGATCTCGGGGCGTTCCGTTCGGGAGGGACCAGGCGTTTCAGTGACCTGCGCGTCGTCCCCCACACCGTGTGGCTGACTCGCCCTCTTTTTGTGAGCGTTTTGTACTCATTGTTTTGCCGATCGGCGCGGGCCTTCATTCCCCCCCCCTCCCCCCTACTGGAGTAGATCTTGGCTGCTTTTGGCTCCTGTTTCGAGCAGGTGGAGTCTCCCCTCATAGGACCCACTCTTGCAAACAGTCGCACTAAGCAGAGGTCTGGAGCCAGACAATCCCCTCCCCCACCCTTTTTCGCCCAATGTCGAAAAGCCGAATCAGAAAACGCTCACAAATTCGTTGCCCAGATCTCATGGCGTTTCGTTCGGGAGGGACCAGGCGTTTCAGTGACCTTCGCGTCGTCCCCCAAACCGTGTGGCTGACTCGCCCACTTTTTTCCAGCCAAAGCTCCATGTCTCTCCAGCAGTGCGGTCGCACCGAGGTGCGAGGTCCAGGTCGGTTCGGGGAGGGTCTCCTAATGTTCTTGTTGACGGTTGGATGCTCTTGTGCATCCTGGGGGGGGGGCACCCTCGAGTGGTCTTCAGCTTGGCCGGCGGAGGGTCGCATGCTCTTGAAGGGTGCTCTTCTGCCCCAGGTCTGGCCGTACGTCCCCGTGCGCCCCACCCAGGGCCGAGCACGTGCCTCTGGCCAGCATGTGCGAGCCCTGCTCTTGGACGCCCCCCCTCTTGGACGCCCCCGAGATCCGGGGCGGGGGGAGTTCACCCCGAGCCCCATGACCGGCGTCTGTCGAGCAGTCCTGGGAGTTGGTCGTCAGAGCCCCAGGAGCCAGGGCTCTGCCAGCCCGGGGCTCTGCCGGAGCAGCTGGAGAGAAGGGAGAGTGGAGCATGTATCGACCCGCGGTGGCGGTCGTTCAATCGCTTCGCTGATTCCACCGTGAGCGGCCGTCGGCCAGTCTTGGAGGAGCTCGATGACATCAGGGGGGGGGGAACCACCCCGAGCCCCATGACCGGCGCTTCCCGAACAGTCCCAGGTCGGCAGCTTTGAGACGAGGGTCAATGCAAACGGGGATCAGCCAGGGCACCAGATCCTGCAGGATCCTGCGAAGTCCCCCTCTGGCTGACCCGGGTTAGCGAGCCGCTCGTGGCCGCGAGGCGGCCGCGCATATTGGCCGACCCGGGTTTGCGAAGACCTGCGCTGCAGTTTTTTGTTGTTGTTCCTGCATTGCAGTTGTTGGTTTCCTGCTGACCCGGGTCTTGATTGTCAGGAGGAGAAAAAACACACAGACACAATGAATCGTCGATTCCCAGAAAATATAGGAAAATATAGGCAGTGGGGGGGAAGACGGAAACCCAGAAAATATGGGAAAATATGGGGGATCTTTTTATTTGTGTGTATTTATTTGTGTGTCCCAGGGCCCCTTCACTTGATTGACCCGGGTCAGCAGATCCCCGACCAGGTTCTGCCGTTTCCTCTCTGCTCTCCGGCCTCTGCCCGCGAGCTCCGCCCCCGCAGGGGCGCCGCCGCCGCGGCGCGGCGGCCCACCGCCGCCCGGCGCCCCCAGACTCGGGGGCGGAAAAGAGGGGGGTGATGACTGGGGGGGGGTGGATATCATGGCGGGAGGCATGGTATTTCCTCAGATTCCATGGCGCCTCTTCTTATTTCATTACGTCCTTTGCCCCCCCGCTGGGCCGCGCACATGCCGCCGGTCATGATTTGCACCCCCCCTCTTGGACACCCCCCTCCTGGCCGCTCCCGACAGACTTCAGTCGGGCATGTCCCTCCACAGGAGGAATGTTCAAGCATCGTTGAACAAATACGCTGGAGACGATGCTTTCGAATATTGTTGGATTATGCTTGCGTGTTTTGACTGTGCTTGGTTTTCTCCCACAATCCGCCTGCAGGAGGACACGCCCGACAGAACCCCAGACCCCCGACGTCATGATTTTTTGATATGGGCGACCCCCAGAGGTCTCGACCCCGCGAGGTCTCGACCCCGCGAGGGCTTCTGAGACGTCCCGCCGCCTTTGAGAAGGCCTTCTCCTTCTCACCTGCCCCCCTCGCTCGCCGCCGACACTGGGCCCGCACCAATGTAGAGGACCCTCCACGGCCCCTCCTCGACGTCGTGATTTTGTCGACCTCCAGAGGTCTCGGCCCATTCCCCGGGACCGGCTCCTCATCCTGAGACGTTTCGTTGACGGCCCCGGGGCCCGGCAAGGGCGCCCAGGGGCCGAAGGTAGGGAAGAACCTCCCGTCATGATGATGTGAATGACCCGAGGGGGTTGGGCGTAAGTCGGGCACGTCCCTCTACAGGGGAAACATTCAAAAACAGGCAAACACTAGTCTTGGGACGATCCCTTTTTTATGTTTTGGAGCTATCTGAGGGAACCTTTTGGGTATGTTGGATCTGTTGTTCAAACTCCGCCTGCGGGGGGGACATGCCCGACCGAAGTCTGGGCCCTCGCCGCCGCCGCCGCAGCAGCGGCCGCCGAAGCTCAGCGAGCGAAGAACGGTATAACATACACTTCTTCGCCGTCGGGGGCGCCTGTCCCTGGGCGGCTGGAAAGCTTATGCCCCTACGGTGCCACCGTAAGGGTCTAAACTTTGCAGCCGCCCAGGGACAGGCGCCCCCGACGGCGGAACAGTCTATTTTTTATACTCCAGGTTTCGTAATGAAACGAGGGGGGTCTCCTTTCGTGGGGGGTCTCTTCCAGGCTATCTTGGAGGGCCTGGGGGGGTCTGGGGACGATGTTTTGGAGGTTCTCCCACGGTGGGGGGTCTAACACTTCTCGCCTGGGAGGGTTGAGACCCCCTCCCTTCTATTACGAAACCTGGAGTACCGTTCTTCGCTCGCCGGAGCAGCGGCCGCCGAAAGCTGCCGCCGAAAGCCGCGGCCGCGGCCGCCGCCCGAAGCGGCCGCACGAGGCGCGGCGGAGCCGCGGGCGCGGAGCCCTCGGGCGCGCTGGTGCCCCGCCGCCGCCGCGCCGCGCCGCCCGAGCACCGTCTTCGGGAGGAGGCGGAGGAGGAGGAGGAGGAGGAGGAGGAGGAGGAGGAGGAGGAGGAGGAGGAGGAGGAGGAGGAGGAGGAGGAGGAGGGAGGAGGAGGAGAGAGGAGGAGGAGGAGGAGGAGGAGGAGGAGGGAGGAGGAGGGAGGAGGAGGAGGAGAGGAGGAGGAGGAGGGGGAGGAGGAGGAGGGGGGGGAGGAGGACGAGGAGGAGGAGGGGGAGGATGAGGAGCAGGGAGGAGGAGGAGAGGGAGGAGGAGGAGGAGGAAGAGGAAGTCTGAAATGCCGTCTAGCTGGATGTTCGAGGCTTGCATCTGCAAAACGATGAACCACAAGACGGATGGATGTTCGAGGTGCCAGAAGCTTGGCATCGCTCGGACGTGTGCATTTTTTCTCGGCGAGAAGCATCGAGGACCATCCTGGACCATCGAGCCAAACCATAAACACGCACGAAACCGAAAAATGCACAGGATATGGACGTCCGAGCGATGGCAAGAAGGCCCAAGTCCGAAATCTGAAATGCCGTTTAGATGGATTTTCGAGGTTTGCATCTGCAGAAATCCGAGCGTAAATTACTTGCCCCGCTCTCGCTTCCAGGCAAAACCAAGCCATACCACGCGCCGCCTCGTCAAGCGGCCTGACCAGTACAGGCTGCAATTTGGCATCTTTTGGTATCTCTTGGAAGCGAGGGTGGTCAAAAGCGAGGTAGGTTTGTTTCCCCCTGAAAAAGGTGAATCACAAGACGGATTGATTTCCGAGGTGCCAAAAGCCCATATGGATCTCACCCTGAGCCCTCCACCCTCAGAAGATGCTCAGCGCCGCGCGCCTCCGCGGTGTTCCGGGTGCCCTCTCCCGCGGCCTGCCGCGCCTTCTTGGGTCGGGTGCTGCCGGAAGTGCCCCTGGCCCGAGGTACCCCCAGGATTCTCGGGGTGGCCCCGGCGGCCTCCGGGGCACCCCGCACGAGGCCCCGAGGTTCCCAGGGGCTCCAAAGTGGCGCGAAAAGCTGGGGACATCTTGGGCCAGGGGCACTTCCAGCAACACCCAGCGAGAGGATCGGGGCCCAGACCCCTGTGTCAAGGTGGGAAAAACCACACAGACCCGAGAACTGGCGTTTACGAAACGGCCCCAGGCGTTTGCTGAACGGCCGAGTCCGTATGTGGGTGCGTTAACTGAACGGCTTCGCGTGTCGGGGTGATTCTTATGGGGGCGATTTTCTGCCCTCTACCTTGGGCTGCGATTAAGTTGGGCAGGTCCCTCCGCAGGAGGAATAGCCAAAAATGGTCAACAAAAGGCTAAACCAATCCGCCTGTAGGAGGACATGCCCGACCTAAGGCTACGAACAAATCATGGCGGGGGCTTTCCCCTCTTCTCGGCCCCCCGGGGCCCCTGCACTGCTGGGCCTCGGGCCTCGGGACCGTCAAGAAAGCGACTCAGGTCAAACGGGTCCCGAGGCATGGGCCGAGACCTCCGGGGGTCGGTGCTGCGACAAAAAATCACGACGTCGAGGAGAGGCCTAGGAGGGTCCTCTACATTTGGTGCGGGCCCAGTCTCCGCGGCGAGGGTCCTCTTCTCGGCCTCTCGGGGCCTTGCCCGGCCTCGGGACGAGAAGCCGGTCCCGGGGAAGAGGTCCAGACCTCTGGGGTCGACGTCGGGAACAGCGTCGCGTCGGCGAATGTCTGGGGGGGGGATCGGGGGGGGGCGTCCAAGAGCTTGGCATCGCTCGGGCGTGTGCATTTTTTCTCGGCGGGGGCCGTCGAGGAGCAGTTTGAAGGTCCTCTTGCGAGAAGATACACGCGCGAAGCCCCCCTCACCATGCACGGGGAATGGACGTCCGAGCGATGCCGAGAGAGGGCGGGTGCTGGCCGGGGGCGTGTGGATACCATGGCGGGGGCCATGATATCTCCCAGATCTCATGGCCTCCTCGTCTTCTTTCAGTGTGGTCGGGCCGAGGTATAAGATCGAGGTAGGTTCGGGGAGGGGACCCTAATGTTCTTGGTGTTTGTTGGATGTCCTTGTGCATCCTGGGGGAGGGCACCCTCGAGTGATCTTATGGTTTAGGGTGTTTGGTCTGGCTGTGGGTCTCATTTTCTTGGAGGATGTTTTTCTGTCCCAGGTTTGACCGTACATCACCCAGCCCCCCTGGGCCGCGCACGTCCCTCTGGCCATCATTTGCGATCCCCGCTGTTGGACGCCCCCCTCTTGGATGCCCCCGAGATCAGGGGCGGGGGCAACCACCCCGAGCCTCATGACCGGCATTTCCCGAGCAGTCCTGGGCGTGCGTCATCAGAGCCCCAGGAGCCAGGGCTTTGCCAACCGGGACTTTGCTGGAGAGAACGGAGAGTGGAAAATGTCTCGACTCGCGGTTGCACTTATTCAATCCCTTCGATAATTCCACTGGCACCTACTGTATGTAGGGTTTAGTAGCCGTCGACCAGTCCTGGAGGAGTTCGATAAAATCTCGGGGGGGGTTCAATTGGCTTTACCTCTCTGTAGCCCTTCCTGGAACGCTCTTAGAGCGCTCTTGGGCGCTCTTGGGGCCGTCTTGGGACCCTCTTGGGCTCCTCTTGGGGCTCTGTAGGGCCTTCTTGGAGCCACCTTGAGGCCTCGGAGGGCCGTCGAAAGCAAAACAGCGAGAAGGCGAAACACACATGGATGTTCTGTGGGTGTTTGAAGGATGTCGGCCTCTTGATGGCTTCCGGGGGAGGCTCTCTGGCCACGCGGACCCGCCTCGGGGCGGTCTTGGGGCCTCTTGGAGCATCTTGGAAGCCATCCTGGAGGTCATCTTCGGCTGCCGCACAGGCCAGCTGCGCCGCGCGCACCACGTGCGCCACGTCAGGCAATATGTCGACCCCCCCCCGGTCAAAGCCCCCTGCGAAGCGACGGCGGGCTTGCTGCGTGTGGGCCTGCGCCCACGCTCGCTCCGAGTCTGCGTCTCGACGGGGACGCCTGGGCCCGGCCAGAGCCCACCGCACAGCGACGGTCGGGGGCGGAAAAGAGGGGGGTGATGACTAGGGGGGGGTGGATTTCATGGCGCGGGCCATGATTTTTCCTCAGATTTCATGGCGCCTCTTCTTATTTCATTGCGTCCCTGGCCCCCCCGCTGGGCCGCGCACATGCCGCCGGTCATGATTTGCACCCCCCCCTCTTGGACACCCCCCTCTTGGCCGCTCCCGAGACGGCGGGCCTGCTGCGTGCGGGCCTGGGCCCACGCTCGCTCTGCGTTGGCGCGTCTTGACGGGCACGGTGGGCCTGTGCGCAGGGCAGGCGGCGTGTTGCCCCACCGCGGGGCCATCGAAGGGGGACACGTCGTGAGCTGCCGTCGAGCGGCGTGCCGCCCCACCGCGGGGCCACCCAAGGACACGTCGTGAGCTGCAGCGGGGGCGCGCATCAAGCAACCACATGCTCTTCGTCCGGGTATCCTGGGTTTCTTCGCTCCGCGCGCTGCGCGGCGACTTCCCGCGGCCGTTGAAGGAGCTGCTGCGTTCAGAGTGCTCCAGGTGCCCCCTCCTGTGCACTTCGCGCGCGGGTTTTCAGGGTAGGGTTTCTTTCGAGGGTTTCTTGCGGCCGCGCTCGCACTGTACACTCGAGCATCTGATTCAGAGATCTCCGCCCGAAAAGCTGGGCTGGCGTTTCTTGATCGGCTTGCCGGATTGCGGGCCCAGGCGAGGTGGCGGGCTTGGGTTGGCGATTGCAGCCCCAGGGCTTCTCCCAGATCATATAGAAACCTCCTTCCTAGAGACCCGTCCTGGAATTCCCTTAGACGTAACTTTTCTTCTCCGTCCATATCTTCCTCCACCTCGATCTCCTCCTTTCCCCCCTTCCCCCGCGCGCTCCCGAGGATGGAGGAGGAAGAGGAACAGGAGAAGGAGGAGGACAAGCGTAGACCAAGGATGCCTCAGCGATGCTGCCGTCAGATTCTACAGGCAGTCCATGTTCCTCTCTCTCTCTCTTTCTCTTTTTTGTTTTTCTGTATCTCTCTCTCTCTCTCTCTCTTTATCCCGTTCTCTGTTCACACGAGGAATATCAAGGTGTAGGACAATACGGTTTAGGGAGGTGTCCATCAATTGCCTTTTTCCGAAAAAGAGCAGTCCTCTGTCCGAGCAGCTGGTGTACAAAGAAGTACGTGCGATCGCAAGTTTTGAGCATGTAGGCAGCGACATCCCCATTTTGAGCGGGAGCCGCTTTTTGTCCGTATACTTGGCACATGTTCACAAAATGGCACGTTACGCGAAGAAGTTCAAGCAAGATATCACTTTTGTACTCGGCGAGACCCACATTCCCTTAACAAAAAAATATAGCTCCATCCGTGTATGTGTTAGACATGTTATAGGTGGATGCGCGCGGTGCGAAGGCGAGGGTCGCATGTTCAAAACAGCCCGCGTTGAATATGCATTTATGTGATCTTAGTCCCCCGCAGTTGCGGATAAGAACGAGGGGGCGCGGGTGGATCGCGGGACGAAGACGACAATAGCGACAGTCATTTCAATGTTGTTCATTCTGCGTCGCTCGCGTGTCACTCAACATGCATATGCACCCCGAGCCCAAGATACCCGCCCGCTTCGTCTTCGATCGTACCCCCCTTAGTCAAGGGAGCAAAAACCACCCGGACCGGACAATTGGCGTTTACTAAACGGCCCTGGGTGTTTACTAAACAGCCCTGCCCTGATCGATTCCTTCTTTGGGCGCGTTTACCAAAGGCCTCGCGTGTCGGGGTGGTTATTATCGGGGTGGATTTTCTGCCTTCTACTTAGGGGGATGCGGGCGGGTGCGCCTCGTCGGGCGGGGTCGGGCCCGCACGGGCGGGGCGGGCGGGCGGGCCCCTGTGGGGCGGGTCGGGCGGGCGAGGCGTGTGTCCCAGGGCCCCTTCAAGAACGCCTCGGGACAGGGTGCCTATGGGAGGGGCGGGCCAAGTGCGAGGAGGTCGCGTGCGAGAGCGCGGTTCCTGGACGTCTGGAGCGCAGCGCCAAAGCAAAAGGAGAAGAAGACCGAGGCGAGGGCGCGATTCCAGGGTAAGTCGTGAGGAAGTCTCCAACGAGAACGCGACGGTTGATAAAAACTGCGGGGAAGTATCAGGCGGGAGCCGCCGTTGTTTTAAATCCACGGCCATCTATGTGGTTTCAGGTTCAATATTTTCCCTGACAAAGATCAAACCGCGAACCCATGCTCGCTCGCCACTCAGCATGTAAACTTCCAAACCCCCGATACCCGCCCTGGTCGTCGTCGATAGTGCCCCCTTTTGGGGGTATCTTCCTTGCATGCCAAGTGTGTTTGGCGCGGCCCCCAAAATCGGAAGATGAGGGACTAGAAAGGGAGACAGCGAGGAAGGCAGGATGAAACGAAAGCGGAGGGCGAGCAAGCGGAAGGCAGGAATGCAGAGGACGAGAGAGGTTCAGCAGGACGGGGGAGGCGAGAGGAGCGGGAAAACTAGCGGGCGGACCCTGACGGGCAGGTCGGCCCAGCGGACCCCGACAGGCGTGTTGGGCGGGCGGGGTATTTCAGAGGGCGGGCGGGCTTCCAAGCAAGCAGACGGGCGGACACCAGCGGGTAGGTCGGGTGGGCGTACGGTAGGTTCGTGTCGTGTCGACCAGCGGCGACCCCGCCGCCGGCGTTCAACGTTGCACGCCGGCGGCGGCCCAGAATCGGTCGATGTTGAACGATTGGACGTTTCGAAAACGGCCGATCGTTCAAGGTTGAACGATCCCCGCGTTGTCAGGAACCAACGCCCGGGTCGACACGACACGAACTTGCCGTACCCTAGTGGGCGGTCTGGTCGGGCGGGCGGACCCTGACGTACGAGCCAGGCGAGGCATTAAAGTGAGCAGGCGGGCTTCCAAGCGGGCGAGCCCGCGGACCTTAACGGGCGGGTCGGGCGGGGAATGGAAGCGAAAGTCACAAATTGCAACGACGCTTCAGGCAAGAGCACGGTTCCTGATACAAGTGTAAAGAAGGTCCGCGCAAAAGCGCGATTTTGAGCAGTCAAGAGCGCCGCGCCTGGATAGATGATAAATTATAAAGATGTCCCAGGCGGGAACGCGGTTCTAAATCAATGTCAAGAGAAGTCTCGAGCGTAAGGGCGATTTTTGAACAAGTCGTCCGGTCGTATCAAGCGGGCGCCGTTGTTGTGGCAGCCCAGGGGGCACCAAAGCAGTATGAGCAGGACGGTTTTCCTTGACACTAAAGGGTGCGAGCACGAGGGGGGAATTTCAATCTAGACACAATGGGCACTGGTGGGGGATCAATATTCGTTATTTTGGCGGAGTGATCGCTCAACGGTAATCCGCACCGCGGAACCCCTCTACAGCCACTCACCCAGAGACTGCATAAGACCATTTTGCCCATCCGTTCTGGCATTTGTATGACGACCGCGTGCGGCGCAAAGGTGAGAGCGGCATGTCAAGAACAGCCCGACTTCCGTCCGTGTGTTCGTGAGAACTTGTTCGGGCGAGTCTGCGCAGCGCTACCGCGGGAACCATACTGAATAAACCACCCGCCCTTATCAGTGTAGCTGCTCGGGAGCTGCTGATGGTGATGATGATGAGGATGAGGATGAGGATGTGGATTATGCTGATGCTGATGCTGATTTCGATGATCCTGCTGATGATGGTGACGATGATGATGCTGCTGATGATGATGATGGTGATGGTGGTGGTGTTGATGATGCTGATGCTGATGCTGATGCTGCTGCTGATGATGACGATGATGCACGCGGCGCTAAGGCGAGGGCCGCGTTGTGGAAGCGGCCCGCCCTCCGTGTGACTGCTTGGTTCCCCTACACTCGGGAGCGTATACGGTATGGTCGGGAGATCTCAGGCGAACCGCTCGGCCCACTATATCGACACATCTGGTGGTGCGACGGGGCATAAAGAAGAGAGGTGGAGGAGGAGAGGGGAGGAGGAGGGAGGAGGGGAGGAGGAGGAGGAGGAGGAGGAGGACGATGATGATCAGGAAGAGGGGGACGACCACAGCCGTCTCTCCCAGGTCGCCGACAGCGGAGCGCTGGTCGCCAAGGCCGGCGAGGCTGAGGGCACGGAGGCGTCCAGAGGATGGGGGCGGCAACGATGAGGATCCCCCTCCCCGCATCCTCCCCTCCTCCCTCCTCCCTCCCCGGGGTTGGGGATCTCAGTCTGTAACCCTCTATGTCTCTCTCTCTCTCTCTCTTTATCCCTTTTCTCTCTCGCTTTCTACATGCATTTAAATAAATAAGCAAGTATAGACAGCGATTAAAGTGCATGCTTACAACACATGTATGCACATACATAAAGCCAGACCCACCTGCCGACCTGCATAGATATACAAATACATACACGCATACACATATGTACAAGCAGGCAGACAAACACACAAACACACAACCATACATACATAAAAGTAAACGAACACAGCATATATGCACACATGCATGCATGCATGCATGCATACAGA